CGTATAGACTAAGAAACATACAGAGACCCATAGGGAAACCTAGATACTCATAGAGATACATAGAGACCCATGGAGATACATAGAAATCTACAGAGATGCATGAGATAACCCACTATGCATAGATACACATCAACATACACAGATACCAATAGAGATAGATAGAGACCCATATATATATACACACCCATCGAGATACATAGGGGCTCATACAGATGCATAGAGACCGATAGATACACATAGAGATCCATAAGCATACACAGAGACCCACAGAGATAGATAGATACCCATATAGATACATGGAAACTCATCCTTACGGATACATATACACATAGAGACAGACAGAGACACATCCATAGTGATACATAAGATACCCATATAGATACATAGAGACCCATCCATAGAGACCCTTAGAGCTCCACAGAGATGCATAGAGATCCGTTGATACCTCACAGTGAACCCATGGAAACCCATTCGTAGAGATACACAGAGACCCGTCCATAGAGATACATATAGATGCTCAAAGACGCATAGAGATACATAAAGACCCGTCCATAGAGATACATAGAGATGCACAGATGCATAGATATACTTAGAGACCCATCCAGAGATACATAGACTCGTAGAGACAAGTAGAGAAACGTAAAGATGCATAGAGACCCGTCCATAGAGATACATAGAGACTCGGAGAGACACACAATGACATATAGCGATGCATGGAGACCCATAGAGATACACAGAGATTTGTTTTCATTAGATGCTGTCTTTCCGACGCTGTCTTTCCGACAGACCTGTTCTTCACCTGAGGACGGCTGCTTACGTTGTGGCCGGAACGTTGTGAGAATTGTATTTTATAAAGTTTTATTTTTTATTATTTTATTATTTCCCTTCTACGTGACTTTACCGAAAGAACCAAGGAGATACACAGAGATGCATAGGGATACGTAGAAACCGCAGAGTGAGCCAGTGACTGCGGTCTGTTCTTCTTCAACGCAGGTGCAGGGACAATACATCCACACGAACTCTCTCTCTCTCTCTGCTGGAGGTCACTCTCTCTTTCTTTCAAGGTATCAGCAGCAGCTGTAGTACCTCCACATTGAGTATCAAGACTCCTAAATCGCAACAAAATGGCTGCTGTTGTTGCTGTTGCCGTTGTCGCGGGCAACAACACGCTAGCAACTGGCCCACTGGCTCACCAGAGCAGTGCTGGGCACCAGTGGTGAGTGAGTGGGTGAGTAGGTGAGTGAACGAGTGGGTGGATGAGTGAGTGACAGTTCCACCAGTGGTGAGTGAGTGGGTGAGTGAACGAGTGGGTGGGTGAGTGAGTTGATGGCTCCACCAGTGGTGAGTGAGTGGGTGAGTAGGTGAGTGAACGAGTGGGTGGGTGAGTGAGTTGACAGCACCACCAGTGGTGAGTGAGTGGGTGAGTGAACGAGTGGGTGGGTGAGTGAGTTGATGGCTCCACCAGTGGTGAGTGAGTGGGTGAGTAGGTGAGTGAACGAGTGGGTGGATGAGTGAGTTGACAGTTCCACCAGTGGTGAGTGAGTGGGTGAGTGAACGAGTGGGTGGGTGAGTGAGTTGATGGCTCCACCAGTGGTGAGTGAGTGGGTGAGTAGGTGAGTGAACGAGTGGGTGGATGAGTGAGTTGACAGTTCCACCAGTGGTGAGTGAGTGGGTGAGTGAACGAGTGGGTGGGTGAGTGAGTTGATGGCTCCACCAGTGGTGAGTGAGTGGGTGAGTAGGTGAGTGAACGAGTGGGTGGATGAGTGAGTTGACAGTTCCACCAGTGGTGAGTGAGTGGGTGAGTGAACGAGTGGGTGGGTGAGTGAGTTGATGGCTCCACCAGTGGTGAGTGAGTGGGTGAGTAGGTGAGTGAACGAGTGGGTGGATGAGTGAGTTGACAGTTCCACCAGTGGTGAGTGAGTGGGTGAGTGAACGAGTGGGTGGGTGAGTGAGTTGATGGCTCCACCAGTGGTGAGTGAGTGGGTGAGTAGGTGAGTGAACGAGTGGGTGGATGAGTGAGTTGACAGTTCCACCAGTGGTGAGTGAGTGGGTGAGTGAACGAGTGGGTGGGTGAGTGAGTTGATGGCTCCACCAGTGGTGAGTGAGTGGGTGAGTAGGTGAGTGAACGAGTGGGTGGATGAGTGAGTTGACAGTTCCACCAGTGGTGAGTGAGTGGGTGAGTGAACGAGTGGGTGGGTGAGTGAGTTGATGGCTCCACCAGTGGTGAGTGAGTGGGTGAGTAGGTGAGTGAACGAGTGGGTGGGTGAGTGAGTTGACAGTTCCACCAGTGGTGAGTGAGTGGGTGAGTGAACGAGTGGGTGGGTGAGTGAGTTGATGGCTCCACCAGTGGTGAGTGAGTGGGTGAGTAGGTGAGTGAACGAGTGGGTGGATGAGTGAGTTGACAGTTCCACCAGTGGTGAGTGAGTGGGTGAGTGAACGAGTGGGTGGGTGAGTGAGTTGATGGCTCCACCAGTGGTGAGTGAGTGGGTGAGTAGGTGAGTGAACGAGTGGGTGGGTGAGTGAGTTGACAGTTCCACCAGTGGTGAGTGAGTGGGTGAGTGAACGAGTGGGTGGGTGAGTGAGTTGATGGCTCCACCAGTGGTGAGTGAGTGGGTGAGTAGGTGAGTGAACGAGTGGGTGGGTGAGTGAGTTGACAGCACCACCAGTGGTGAGTGGGTGAGTGAACGAGTGGGTGGGTGATTGAGTTGATGGTTCCACCAGTGGTGAGTGAGTGGTTGAATACGTGATTGAAGAAGTGGTTTGATGAATACAATGGTAGGAATATCAGTGGTGAGTGAGCAGGTGAGTGGGTGGGTGAGTGAATTGATAAGCTGAATGCTGACTCTCAGCAGTAGCAGAACACACGTGCTAACAAGGACACTCAATTAATTTTATAATGTTGAAGTTCTGTGCAAAACAAGCTACTACTGGCCAAGACTAATTAGATAATCTATCAAAATTGAAAGAAATAAAAATAATTTTAACCGTTCGGATAGCTACCGCCTTAGTGCTGCGTGGAAGCGAATCGTCAAATACTACATTGTTTAAATGCGTGCCTATACAGGGCACGATACTTCATTAGGGATTTCATTTGGTATGGCGATATGAATAGACACAATGGACAGGACGGACAAGATCAAAGGGCTCGCGCAATGTGCATGCATAATGTACGTTGACTCAGTAATCCCCCCTCACTTTGCGCAAGAGCGCAGAAGCGTAGTCACCACATCTACGCCTCTATATAAGGAACGAAACAGGTGAACTTCTCCACAAATCTGGCTGTCGCCTGATGAAGCTGGTTGTAATTACTGGCGAAACGTCGTATTGGTTCTTCCCATGTGCTTTCTCCGTTTTTCGTTTTCTCATGTGTTTCCCCCGATGTGTTGCCTGTGTAGGGGTGTTACGGGAGGGCAAACAAACACACAAGGGGTAGTTGCGCCCGCACGCGTAAGGGTGCCTACGTCCACGTCCGCAACGGTTAGCCTGTGATCCCCCACAGCCCCACCCCTCGGGGGGGAATTGCTATATAAGGCGGGGAGCCAGTGGGCTCGGGGTCGAGTATTACAGCTTAAACCAGCGAAGAGCGAAGACCAGCAGGATAGGCCTTGGAACTCCCCTGGCTCGCTGTCCTTCTAAGGACCGACCAGGGCAAGCCAGCGGCGCGGCCCTGAGAGCCCAGAGCCGATGCTCTTGTAAGAGCCGGTCTGGTTGGCTAAGGGTGCCGAGATCCTAGCTTGGCCAGAGCTGGATCAGCTAGCCTCCCCTAGCTCTCGAGTGGAGGACCTGGGAGCAGACTAGCCGGTCTAGCGCTAGGGGTGTCTCCCTGTTAGACGGGTGAAGGGGCCGTTACCCCTTCAAGTATTGTGTTCTGCCCTTTGGTTGAATAAATACGTATGCCTCCGACTACGTCGTCTACGTCTCGTTGAACTGACTACACCTCCAATGGTATTTGCATGTCCATGCACGGTTACCCTTCTCTTCTCCAACCTCTACAGTCTACAGCCTATAAAAGTCCCTGTACGCTATCCCTCCAGCCGTCTTTCTGTGCGTGCCTCTCCATGTGTGTATGTCTCTTGGTGTGGTGTTGCTCGTTGTGCCCCTCTGTACTGCACAACACACATTTCACTTTGTGTCTTCTCTATGTATGTATCTCTGCTACCTTGTACCTCGTGTCTGTTCAAGAGTCCTTATCCTCTGTTTACGTTGGTGTGTTCAACCTGGAAGATGGTCCAACCAGCTTCTGTGTATAACTGTGTTGTTGGCCGACTGGGTTGCATCGTATTGTTTCTAAGGTTTGCTGAGTTCGCGTCTCCCATCTTCTTGGTGTATTTGCCTCCGTGCAGTTTGCCGTTCTCGGTGTGCTCTGTGTGTGATGTCCCTCTGTGTGTTCCCTCGCTGTGTGGTTTACGCCATTTTCACCTGAGGACGAGCGCTTGTGTTGCTTTCAAAACGTCGTGATTTATTTTAATTTAACTTTAATTTTATTTCTACATACGTGACTTCACCGACAGAACCAATGAGCATAGTCTCCAATCTTGTTTGCGATTTTCATGGACAGGACATGGGGGCACAGCCGATGTATTGTGAAAATTCGGTCACAGTTCCTATGATCACTGTTGTTTCATTGCTTTTATGGCTTCATTTTGGTGATTTTCGAAAAGTTTTTTGGTTTGGCCATGTTTGTTTGTTGTAGTACAGAGTTAGACTGATGGCCTTAATCTAAGTTGTCTTGTGGTTTTTGTTGTTTGACTTGCATCCCACTGGGATATTTGCACAGGGTGTTGGTGTACGGTGATTTTTCTGCAATATTTTGCTGTCTTTTCTTGGATTTTCTGTTTGCACTCAGTCACATATTCACTTTAAGATGTTTTCTTGTTCATGTTTTTTTTGTTTGTTGCGGTTGCACCCGATTCAAGAGCCGAATGGCTCACATGGATATACCTAATAAATGAACTTTTAACTTTGAACTTTGATGTATGGAGAGTATCCAGTACGAGGGCATGGCGGTGGCGTCACCGCTTTTTGCAGATGACGTTGTCTTCTTTGCCTCGTCGGTCTGTGATATCCGGCGTGGACTTGGAACGGTTTGATGCCGAGTGTGAAGCGGCTGGGATGGGGATCAGCACCTCCAAATCGGAGGTCATCAGATGAAAGTGGGGGGGACAGCTGCCCTTAGCAGATGAGTTTAGGTATCTCGGGATCTCTTGCACGGGTGATGGTAAGTGTATAGTAGTGTATGGTAGTGTATTGTAGTGTCGTGTGTAGTAGTGTATAGTGTAGTGAATAGTCGTGTGTAGTGTATAGTAGTATAGTGTATAGTAGTGTAGTGTATAGTAGTGTAGTGTATTGTAGTGTAGTATATAGTAGGGTATAGAATTGTATAGTTGTGTAGTGTATGGTAGTGTATAATAGTGTAGTGTGTAGAATTGTATAGTGTAGTGTATGGTAGTGTGTAGTGTATAGTAGGGTAGTGTGTAGTAGTGTATAGTAATGTATAGTCGCGTAGTGTATAATTGTGTAGTGTGTAGTAGTGTATAGTGTAGTGTATAGTAGTGTATAGTAATATAGTAGTGTAGTGTATAGTAGTGTAGTGTATAGTAGTGTAGTGTATGGTAGTGTATCTAAGTATAGCGTGTAGTAGAGTATAGCAACGTAGAGCTGCAGGCTGTCGCAAAGAAAATGGAGGTCTGGACGGCCACGACTCAAGATGCTGCCACCGCGACCCTCACCAGGACAAGCGGACTGAGAAACGAACGAAAGAACGAACGAAATTTTTCATTCTTTGTTCAGCGCCTTGGTGAATAAAGAAATAGGCCCGCTGATCTGCTATGTGGCTGCGAACTGGCTGCCACAAATGATAGCTCAACGAAGTGGCTTATCAACATCACCATAATTTTCGTCACGTGAACATGTATTGCAGTAGCCCAAATAAATGTTGACTTAAAACTTTCGTGACTGCAGGAATTCATATTCTTTGGTTCTTTCGGTAAAGTCACGTAGATAGAAAAAATAATATTAAAAATAAAAACCACGACGTTTCGATCGCAACACACGTGGTCGTCATCAGGAAAAGCTTTTTCTGATGACGACCGCTTGTGTTGCGATCGAAACGTCGTGATTTTTATTTTTAATTATTATTTTTTTCTATCTACGTGACTTTACCGAAATAACCAAAGAATACGTAGCTCAAAAACTCCAAACGCATGTTTCTACAGATTCATAGAGACCCGTAGACCCATAGAGACTCATAGAAAGCCACAGAGACCCACATAAACCTATAGCAGACAAATACTCTAAATGCACTTCATGTCTAAAATGTGGTGAGAAACACCGATGGACACCTCAGAAAAATCCATGCGACCACGGCGGAAAGAGAGAGAGAGAGGCACGCACACTGCGAACACACAACAGGCATCAATACCCACGATCTCCGGCATACTGGGTGAGATAGTTAACATCTCGCCTCCGTGGGCCACGTGCTGTGTGTTCCATCAGGCGACGGGCGAGTGGAACTCGTCGACGAACTTGTCCGCGGACGTCCCCGCGGACCTCATCTTCATGTCGACGCTCTTCCGTGAGCCGGCCAGCGTCCGCTTCACCTCGTTCGCCCTCGTCCTCCTCATCTACCTGGCGTCGCTCGTTGGCAACTCGCTGCTCATCGTCACCGTGACGTGCGACCACCGACTCCACAAGCCGATGTACGTGCTCATCGCGGCGCTCTCGATCGCCGACGTTATCCAGAGCACGTCGACGATGCCGCGCATCCTCTACGACTTCTTCTCCGACAACTACATCACGATGGGCCAGTGCTTCACGCAGATCTTCTTCTACCACGTGTCGCTCCGCGACCAGGGCTACGTCCTCGCCGTCATGTCGGTCGACCGCTACCTCGCCGTGTGCCGGCCCCTCCAGTACCCGTCGCTGGTGTCGTTGCGCGTCACTTTCAAGGCGCTCGCACTCACCCTGCTGCTCGCCGCGGCGCAAGCCGTCGGCTACGTGGTGCAGGTGACGAGCCTCGACTTCTGCAGGCCCAAGGTCATCCTGGCGGCCAACTGCGACAACCTGGTGGTCATCAACATGTCGTGCACGCGCAGCGTCGCCAACGTCGTCTACTCGTACGTGAACGTGCTGTCAGGCGTCGCGGCGCCCCTCGTCCTCGTCGTCGCCATGTACTCGCTCATCCTCGTCGAGTGCCGCAGGCGCGGCGGGCAGAGGCGCGCCGCCGAGACGTGCGGCGCCCACCTGCTCGTCATCGCCCTCTACTTCGGCTCGGTGTTCTTCACGATCGCCAGCGGCTTCCAGGTGTTCGCCCACCTGCCACGCGAGGTGCGCGCTCCCTTCCAGACGATGCACTACACCCTGCCGCCTGCCCTCAACCCCGTCATCTACGGCCTGCGCACGGGCGCGATACGCCGTGGCGCTTCGAGGTTGCTGCTGCGGAGGCGCGGGTGGGCGATCGGAAACGGTGTCAAAGGCGGCGACGGCGGGCAGTGAGACGATTTGATTGTTCGTTTGTTGTGGTTGTTGTTGTTGTTGTTGAGATAGGCGGGTAGGGGAAGGGGTGGCCCGTCCTAGTTAATACTGCGATTGTCGTCATCACCACTGGCAGAATAATTATCACACGCAGCATTGTCACGTTCAGAACCATCATCATCATCATCATACGGCATCATTATCACACAGCATCATCATCACACACAGCATCACCATCACTCACAGCATCACCATCATAGCACTCGGCACCCGTCTGCTTCGTTTTCGCGGGGGGAGGTTTAAGATCCTGTGACGTCATACCAAAACGTGCAGTCGGCCATTTTGTGTTCGAGCGGCATTCACGGGACAGACATTTTGGCAATTTATAAAGTACGAATCGTTTAGGGTGAAGCAGGACTAATGTCTGACACGTTGTTGATTTTATACATATACAATTTACTTTAAAAACCACAATGTTCATCTTCTTGGTTCTTTCGGTAAAGTCACGTAGAAGGGAAATAATGAAATAATAAAAATAAAACATAATTAAATAATTATTTATAATGTTTTATTTTTATTATTTTATTATTTCCCTTCTACGAAAGAACCAAGAAGATGAATCCCTGCAGTCACGAAAGCTTTAAATCGAAATTTAACCAAAATTTTGTTTTTATTGATGAATGTGTTGCGTTTTACGTGTTTTAATATACACGCACACATGTAGGGTTACGTGAAATTGTAACTACATCGCTACAGTTTTAGAGATATACGTTGAGTGGTGCCTGAAAGTTACGGTTTAACGTTGGATAGAATCGAGTGCTGAGGATGGAGGGGGGACCAGTTGATGTGCGATGTTGTACAGGGTGCTGCAGATGTCTTATCACTCCATTTCTGTGGGGCACCACGGTGGCTCAGAGATGTTAACTACCTCGCCTGGTATGCATGAAGTCGTGAGTTCGATCCCGACCCTAACGATGCCTGCTGTATATTTGGAGTCTGCGTCTCTCTCTATCTGCGTGGTTGCATTCAATTTTTTTCCGGGACACCCGGTTTTCTTCCTCCACATTCGAATCGACGTCTCTATGATTTCTGAGTTATTTGGCTGCTACTATAAATGTCCACGTGATGATGATGATCTTCTTGGTTCTTTCGGTAAAGTCACGTAGAAGGGAAATAAAAAAATAAAAAATAAAAAGATAATTAAATAATTCTCACGACGTTTCGGCCACAACGCAAGCAGCCGTCCTCAGGTGAAGAACAAGTCTGTCGGAAAGACAGCGTCTGACGACGAAACGTCGTGAGAATTATTTTATTATGTTTTATAATTTATTATTTCCCTTCTACGTGACTTTACCGAAAGAACCAAGAAGATTAATCCCTGCAGTCACGAAAGCTTTGAATCGATGATGATGATGATAATAGGCCGTCAGTTCGTTGAGCTATCATTTGTGATAGTCAGATCGCTACTGAAAAACAGCTACTGCATAGCAGGTCAGTGGGGCCTTGCCTGGTCAAATAAACATATTTATTTTAAAATTATTTAAACGTTTATATAAGCAAAGGGTGAAACAAATGCTAGGGAGTCAATTCAGGGGGGAAAGGGGGATGCGGAGGGGGGGGGGGGCACGAGACATCTGGACCACCTTGTACATGAACATTCCGTGAAAGACCTAAATTAATTTTGGTTGTTTTCAAATTGATGATAAAATTATATGATGATGATGATGATGATAATATAACAACAATACACCATCGTCTGGTGGGGAACTCGACGACGCTGAGCCAGAGGTCAAAGTTCATCGTACAGAGCCTGAACAAGGTGAGCGCATGAACGGGTGATTGCACGAACGGATGAGAGGCTGTACAGGTGAGCGCATGAACGAGTCAGAGTCTGAACGGGTGAGCACATGAACGAGTGAGGGCTGTATGGGTGAGCGTATGAACGGGCGAGAGTCTGAGGGTGGAAGTGGGGAAAGGGAGGGAGGGGGTTATAATATATATGCAGTTAATCCTGCAATCATTGTAATGTAAGTACGTATGGGTTGAACTTATTTTGCATCTTACGTGACCGTATAGACCGTGTTTATTTTAAATATAACATCATCTCCACTCACGGGGTGAGGGGGAGGGGGAACGATCCATTGTACAGAAATGAAATGCTAAGTTAAATTAAATCATATTCTTTTGGTTTTTCGGTAAAGTCACGTAGATAGGTTCAAAGAAAATAACAAATAACTATGACGTTTCGATCGCAACACAAGCGGTCGTCATCAGGAAGCCAACCCCCTATTCCTGATGACGAATACTTGTTTTGCGATCGAAACGTCGTAGTTTTTGTTATTTTTTGTTATTTTATTTGAGCCTATCTGCGTGACTTTACCGAAAGAACCAAAGCATAGGAAAAGGGGGTAAGCCTCTAAAGGCAAACTGTTTATAAAGGTTCAAAATGGGCTTAGCCCAAGTGTCAGCAGCATGGGTGGGGTAGCTAAAGTTAATGTAAGGGATTAAAAATGGTGTGGCCCAGCATGTAGGGCGGTGCTGGTAGTGGAGGGCAACGACGGCGCTGGTGGTGGGTTACCACCAATTAAAGGGCTGCCAGGTAATCATTGCACCTCGCTTTACACATTCACACTGGTGACGGTGGAGGTTGCTGCTAGTGGTGATGGTAGTAGTGGGCAGTGATGGTTCTGGTTGTGGGCTTCCACCAATTAAAGGGCTGCCAGGTCTAAAATGCAAACATTACAGCCAGTTATGACTTAAACTGGTTGATAAAGTCCTTCCAATGATTGCTGAGTTTGTACCCATCTTCTCGGTTGAAATTGTGTCTATGTCTGTATATATGGATGGCTTCATGAACACATCTTTGTTGATAGCCAGTGTGTTTGCAAAGTACTTTCGTCTTAGAAATGCCGGCCTTCACAGGCACTGCCGCTCGCTAACAGCACTTGCCCCAACAGTCTGTTGAAAGCTACATGCGGGCATCTTTGTCATTGTGCGTGCATCACCGGGGCGCTGATGGATATTCGTACAGGCGAATTTTGTTATTGGAGTCCATGGGAGACTGTTACGTAGGAGTCTATGGGAGAATGTAACGTTGGAGTCTATGGGAGACATTAACCTTGGAGTCTATGGGAGACTTTAACATTGGAGTCTATGTATCGTGTGTATAACTAACGTCACAGAGACGTCTTCTGGAGGCAACGCTTTTATTACAACAGACTCAACGGACAGCGACTGTAACACAAAGGGGTACGGCAGCTTCAACCCGATAGCCTAAGGGAGGTACAGCCTTCCTGCTAGCCTGTCCTACACACCCCTGGTTACACTACACACAGGTCCTTTGCTACGGCCGCTAAGGGAGGCTAGACCGACCCGACCCAGCCAGGATACGGGTCCCACAACCGGTCGGCTACAACCCGGCTCTGACAAGAGCCTCGGTTGCGGGTCCCAGGGTGCTAGTCCAGTCTTCAGGTCTTCGGACGGCTTCAGGCTCGAGTTGGCGAACTCTCCCGGACCCGTTCAGAGGGCCGGCTTTTATCCCCAGGTCGGGGGCTTACCCCTCCCCTAATCACACCCCCTTCAGAACCTTCCAGAAACGACTGGAAGGTTCTGGAAAGGTCTTAAAGGGTGTAAAATTGGCGGTGGCTCCTATCCCCCCAGCCCCCAGCCCCCAGCCCATGGGGGTTTGGGCTGTCAACCTCCGGTCACGGGCCACGGGGGGGGGGGGGGGGGGGGGTTATCTTCGGTCATCCCCTACACACCTCGTTCTCTCTCTCGGCTGCCCCCTGTTGGCCCGTGAGCGTGGTGGCAGGTAAGGCGACATACAGCGCCTTGGTATGGCGCAACATCTGTACGACTTTAACGCGAGAGTCTATGGGAGACTTTAACATTGGAGTCTATGGGAGACTTTAACGTTGGAATCTATGGGAGACTTTAACATTGGAGTCTATGGGAGACTGTAACGTTGGAGTCTATGGGAGACTTTAACATTGTTGTCTATGGGATACTTTAACGTTGGAGTCTATAGGAGACTTTAACGTTGGAGTCTATGGGAGACTTTAACGTTGTAGTCCATGGGAGACTTTAACATTGGAGTCCATGGGAGACTTTAACATTGGAGTCCATGGGAGACTTTAACATTGGAGTCTATGGAAGACTTTAACATTGGAGTCTATGGGAGACTTTAACGTTAGAGTCTGTAGGAGATTTTAACATTGGAGTCTATGGAAGATTTTAACATTGGAATCTATGGAAGATTTTAACATTGGAGTCTATGGGAGACTTTAACATTGGAGTCTATGGGAAACTTTAACATTGGAGTCTATGGGAAACTTTAACATTGGAGTCTATGGAAGACTTTAACATTGGAGTCTATGGGAGACTTTAACATTGGAGTCTATGGGAGACTTTAACATTGGAGTCTATGGAAGACTTTAACATTGGAGTCTATGGGAGACTTTAACGTTGGAGTCTATGGGAGACTTTAATGTTGGAGTCTATGGGAGACTTTAACATTGGAGTCTATGGGAGACTTTAACATTGGAGTCTATGGGAGACTTTAACATTGGAGTCGATGGGAGACTTTAACGTACCTGTCAACCCCTTATCAGTGCCCTACCTTATTAAAGACTAATTCAGACCGCAGAAATTCATTATGGGGCCTTCCATAAATGACGTCACGCGATTTTGGCAGATCTTTGACCCCCCCTCCCCCCTTAGTCACACGACGTCACAACATGTCAGACCCCCCTCAAATATCACGTCACAAAGCTCTGCCCCCCCCCCCCCAAAAAAAATATAAAACATGCTTCAAATCGCTTTAAACTATTGTAGTGCGTATTTAATGTGGCGCTGCACTCTGATGTTGTAGGAGAAAACATTTATTAAAAAGTCTATTTAATTAAGTAGAACGAGTTGTTTATATTAATTTAAAGTTGCGCATTTTTACGTGACGTCACATTTCTCAACCCCCCCCCCCCTCGTCACACATCGTCACAAATGTCTGACCCCCCCCCCAGGTG